AAAAAAAAACACTGATCCCACAGAAGTATACCACTTTTCATTTCATAAGTTTCTTCGTCTCATTTTGGCTTTGTAATTTACACTTCATTTTATTTTTAACCTAAGAACTTGAAGCGACTCGCGTATGGTAGTACTGGTACCTTCACTCCCTTCCATCTACTCTTCACCCCTCTCCTCCCCCCTCCCCCCGTGTTCCCCACGATTCGATAACTTTTCGACGCTGGAGATATCCCAGGAGAAATGCGTGTGTTGGTTAGCGTCTTTCCCCTAATTTCTTTTTTATAATTTTTGTAGAGCTTCCCGAGCACCTGTTTTCAAGCTCTGTACTTATTCTCTTCTTTTTTTTACTGCTCTTCCAACTTTTTCTTATAAAGAAGCTTCTGTTTCTTTCGCTTTTTTATCTGTAGCTCGTGCTATATCAACTTGCATATTGTATTACGTACGTGTTGATGCCTCCCGGCAATTGTCCTGAAAAAAAAAGAGAAAAAACTGCCCTCGTTCTAACTTCATGGAGTCCTTCAACATTCTGTTGTGCTACGGGATTCCTCTCTGTCTTTCGGCTCTTTACTAACACATCTGTGTTGTTATGACTTCTTTCTGCTTTACAATTAATGGTCATTATTCAGCGAAACTGTGAGGCATGGGAAGTTAGTGAAGGACTGGATACACGTGGTGCAGGGTTCATTCTTCTGAGGCATAAGCAGTATGTGAGGAATGAGGTTCGCGGCTGGACGCTGTGTAAAAAATTAAATTTTTCAGTACCAGGTTATTCTTCATATTGATGTTTATTAATGTTTCGTATAAATTTTCCTGTTGTCTTGGTGTCCCCAGGTTATTGTAATAAATTGCTGTCTTTAAATGAGCCCACATACGCAAACTTTTTCGTGATATTCAACTGGAACTTTGCTTGTAATCACTACGCTGATCTTGTTGGTCAGCAACCTGCTTTAAAGTAATTCACGAAAGGAGACGATCAACAGCTTTGCCAGTGGGTATTGTCGTTCGAGCTGTGTAAAAAGAAAAACATGCGAATTTTGGGTCCCCAGGAAAACCGTTCTTCCATGTTTTTCCCCCCAAGAAAAACATTCTTCCGTATCTTTGCCTGTCTTTGTAAACAATGAAACGATCTAAAAACGCCCGAATCTAAAAACGACCTGAACCTGAGAGTAGGCGAAGCCCAACCTTAAAGGGGTCTGGGAAGCCATTCATCCGATCTAGGTAGCAATGCTTTTTATCTGGAAGTAGTTCGGCGAGTTTTTTCTGAATTTCTCATCAGTTAAAGCACCAAAAAATGTTTTAAACGTTATGCGTAAACTGATTTTTTCTGTAGGGTATTATTGGATCATATTGGAAATGCATTATAAACCAAAATAAACATCCGCGAGGGGAAGATCTCCTCGCCGCCCTCAACTATCCTTAACCTTCAATCTCACAAACTATTCCCATATATCACTGGATACAAAAAAATTCAACAAATTAGTACGGTAACTGATTATCAACCACTACAACAGTATCCTAAAAAATACTATTTATGCTATTAATGGATAACAAATATTCGGTTACAGAACACCTTGAATACACATATTCATTGTGATTAA